AAAAAATGTTTAACATGCCATGACATGTTTTTGATGATTCAGAGGTACTTTTCTTCTTTTCATGCTTAATCATAAAAATATATTGTTCAAATCTGAAAGATGGACACCTTGAGATATGAATTATTCAAGATTCGTATAAGCATAAATACATTAGCATACTCAATAAATGCAAATAGGAGGAAACTGATAAGCTTTACATACTAGAATAGGCTAAAACATACTCCATTTATGCTTATATAAAGAACGTTGTGATTTATGACTACCTTTACAGATGGAATGCTTTAATGCCTGTGTTATTTTGTGTCGAGTTTTCAACAATACGCAAAAGCAAAGTATTTAAAGTACATATATACACTATTATATGTTCCCAATCGTTTACTCTTGGTTTATTTTTTACTCAGCTATTGTTTTTTTAAAGAGGAAATAAAAGAGCAATAGATGAACACTTTTACTCTATTTCGTACTCTAGAACTCATTAACTTAAGGAAACAAGATGAACATTTTTATTTACCGGTTCTTTCAATTTAAACATCCTCTTTCAATCCACCTAAGTAGCCTGCATAGAATAAGACATTAAAGCTCTCTTAAATAAGATGCCTACCAAATGTATGAAATAGTACGTAGTACTTAATATGTGTCCAAAATAAAGATAGTGGGCAAAATTTTGATCGGTAACTCTTAACGACTAATTATGATCAAACTTTACATCATTATGACTATAAAAGTGTACTTATGGTCAATTAGTGACATTTTTATCCAAATGTTTTATTTAAGTAATATTTTAGGTAAATAATATCTGAATAACAACAAATACTTTTTAAAAAATTCATATGTTCTCAATACTGTCAAATGCTAAATAACCAAACCGGCCCCTAAGATATGAATAGTTATCATATGAAAAACCGTACAGGTATGGTTGAAGTATTTGTTTGTATTTTTATATTTTATCAATGTAAACCAATTATAGGTAGTAAAGTGCCAACTAGGGAGTAATGCATACATTTACTGACCCAACGTCCTAAACTATACATTCATAATGTGAACATTAACTTATAATAGCCCAATGCATGTATAATGTATTTAATCGTATTTGTACCATTTTAGGCAGTAAATGAGGAGCATGGCCGCATGGGTCATATGTCTATATCTGTCGTAATTGCTAGCATACAAGAGAATTGGGATATTACTGAATAATAAAACAACTTCGAACAAGGAACTACAACTGGAATTAAATAATGCACCTCATATAACACACAACTTTACATATTGCGTTGATGAACAAGCAATTGAGAAATAGTAACAGTTTTTATTTATTTTAGGACCAGGCACTAGATGAAATTCGAATACAAGACAAAACGTTAAAAGAATTTAAAAGCCAACCTCTATAAGCTTCGTTGTAGAGAGCATTGTAAGCTCAGACGTTGACGATGGAGGGAAGCCTTGAGTTCTTCATATCAGAACAGAAGAAATGGGAACGGCGCTGGGGCAGTTGGGAGAGACACTTCCAGGACATACTCGAAGGAAGTATAGATAGAATTCGGAAAGAGGATCAGAAAGATTACAAGGATAAGTCGGCAAGGAGGAAGAGGTCTGCGGCCTGCAAGTACTGATGCTTTTAACCGTAGCCCAAAACTAACTTTATAGTTTATATACATGCCCAATTAGGGTTTTTTGTAAAGAGGCTGGGCTTAATTTTATATGGGCTATTTTTTTGAAGGAATATGGGCTAATATTTATATGCTTCCAAGTGTGTAATTTAAAGAGAGAGAATTCCTGAAATAGGAGTAAAAACTAATAGATAGAAATATCGGGACATATTTGTAATTCTCTTATTTTATCTGTTTAGTATAAATATACCATCACGGCTCCCTATTATGGTTAGCCATTATTCCATAATATTGTATATGGTATCAGTCGCCTAGATTTTCTTCTCTTCCGCTAAAATATGTCGCACGATACCTCCGCCTCCGGCATCTCTACTGCCGCCGGGTCCTCTACACCTGCTCCGGCTTCTTTTTCTTCGGTGGTCGCAAATGGTTCCAGCACGGCGCCCTCCTCCAGTATACAATTATTTTATACAATATTGTATAAAAACGTTTTGAAATTTCAAAATAAGAGTATCATGTCTTTTATTCCCTGAATAGGAGTAAATTTCTGCCAAGTTTGGCATTACAAGGCTTTAAACATGGCAGATTATTCCTATTCAAGGAATAAAAAACATGATACTCTTATTTTGGAATTTCAAAACGTTTTTACTTCTATTTAGGGAAATTACTGTAATTTAAACAATTTATTGTATTGTTTTGTACTCCTTATATCGCACTACGTATATAATTATATGTGTGTTTTATATTATTATTGTACATGTACTAGAACATATACATGTTTGTTGTATACTCTCTCCGTATTTTAAAGTTTGTTATACTTTCCTTTTTTTGATGTATTTAAAAGTTTGTTACTCTTCGCCTTTAACTAAGTTGTTTCTTTAAAAATACTCAATTAAATCACATTTTCTAATTTTTATCTTCTCTTGCATACTTTTGCATATACTCATTATCCCTATTATTTCTTTCTTAAATAATGTTTAAAGCCTAATGTAGCATTCTTTTAAATAAGAGGGCGTTCAGATTCAGTCTTGCCCCCTCCAAATCATTCAGCACGATGCCCAGTCCGAGGTGTCCGAGGGGACGTCTGGAGAGGCCCTCGGCAAGGGGCGTTCAACAATGTTTCCTTCATACTAAAATAACCAAAATATAATCTAAAGGACTCTATTGTCCCGTGCATCGCACGGGTACGATACTAGTTTTAGAAATTAATAAATAAAACTACATGAAACATAAAATATAAAAAAATTAATTTCATTTGAATTACATGAATTGCAATTAACGTATAATAATCTGAACCTAGTTTTTTTAATTTTTTTCATCATGACCTAGTTTTGTAATTAATAAACAGTACCAAAGCATGAAACAATATAAATTAAATAGTACTCCGTATCAACGTATCAGTTAAATAGTACAATCATTTTAATTAATAAATAAAACTCTATTTTGCAAACATCCGAAACCCAGGGTTTAAAAATGCTCACATGTGACGATGTGAGAAACGGCATACTTACATGTATGTATATTAATTATTTAAAAATGCGTGTCTTTTTTATTTGATCAACTTCTCGATTGAATTTAAGTTGAAATTTTGTGTACATAATCTAAATTTTATAAAAAACATACTTGCAATTTTTTTTCTAAAAATTTCACACGATAAGACTTCAAATGGAAGTGGCCCAATGATGATTCCGGTTAATCCGCACCGGTCTGGAATCTGGATTGACATGAATATTTCTCTTTTATACTTCGTTTATATATTGGTTTTTAAAAGTTTTTTAAGGTCATCATGCTAATTTTCCTTTTCTAAAAAATTACACAGATGGAAGAGATGAATTTTAAGTCATAAAATAGATTATATAAGCGAGTATAAAATAGATTAAGTCATAAATGTTTTATATAAGCGTGTAAAAAGATCATAAAACATACATTTGTTAGAATAATGAGATACACTCATAAATAGATTATATAGGCCGATACACTCGGGCCGGGTGGCCCGGAACCGGCCCGGGACTCGGCCGAGTACAAATATACATATTAGTGCTGGACTCGGGCCGGGTGGCCCGACCCGGAACCGGCCCGGGACCGTTACTGTGCTGAACCGGCCCGGCTTGGTGGCCCGGCCCGGCTTGGTGGCCCGGCCAGTGACCGGTCCGGGTAGGCCCGGCCCGGGGGGTTCCCGGTGCGGGCTCGGGTCACCCAAAAGCCGAACCGGCCGGTTCGGACCCGGTTCCGGGCTTTTTATTTTTTTTTCAATTTTTTTTTTTTTAACTTTTCGGGTTGGGCTGGGTATTTTGGGCCATTTGGGGTGGTTTGGGGGGTTGGGGTGAGGGGGGGGGGGGGGTTAATTAGGAAAAGGGAAAAACCCAGCCCGAGTCCAGGACTAATACATATGTCAGACATTTAGTAATTAAAATAAGATCATAAAATTTCAGTGCAAGTAAATTACTAAGGGTCTGTTTGCAACTGCTTTTGCTTTTAAAAAAGTGCTTTTTTTAATGAAATGGGGAGAAGTGATTAAATAAAAGTTGATAGTGTTTGAGAAAAAAGTAATTTTGAAAAGTAAAAGTGAGTAGTGTTTGGTAAAATAAGTGCTTTTTGTGTAATAGAAAAAGTAAAATGACTTTTTACGCGGAAGCCGAGAAAAATAAAAGTTGCAGTGTTTGCGAAAATAAGTGCTTTTTTAAAGCTAAAAGTTGAGAAGTGCTTTTTTAAAATGAGTTGCAAACCAACCCTAAATGCTCTAAGTAATTGTGGAGTAAGGTACTTAATTAAAGCTATCCATTTGGGAACGAATATGATTCTTTGACAGTTTGACCACAATTTCATAAAAGGCAAATCAGGTGAATCGACGTAGCTCCATCATTGACCTATAAGTTTAATCCCTTTTTTTATATGAAACTAGTAGCTAAACATTTTTTAGTGTTTCTATTATAGTAAGTGAAGTATCTTGTGCTCTTGTTGCATTATCTCTTTACTCTGAAAGAGAATGTCACATGTTCTAGATATTTCCCAATAAAGAATGTTGACATTATTGTGAAGAGATGCTATAATAAGTCTAAAAGGATATTACTCAAAATAATTATAGTAATTTTAGACTTTAGAAATTCAAAGGTTTTTATATTTTAGTTTATATTTTAGTATTTTACTAAGAAATATCCAATTCTCATTATTTATTTGTTCATCAATCCATCATAATCGTTTTCATTTTTCATAAAAAGGGGGGAAATCATATTTATGGGTTCGATTGGTTATAATATCATGTTATGATTGATAATCTTGTGTTCTTTCCCAAACGATGAGCATAACAATAGCATTAATCCAACTACTCTTATGCACGGAGTAGTACTCTATTTTATTAATTCGTATTTCTACCAGTGCGAGAAATAATTCAACCGAGTAGTGGAATATAAAATGCAAACCAGTTTATAAAATACAAAATATAAAATGCAAACCAGTTTATTGGAATTGCTACTGCTGCAGTGCTGCCAAGTCAATCATACATATTGTTGTACTTTAGTTTACAAAGAAAATGATCAAAAGTATTATTATTAATTAGAAAAAAGAGTTCATGTTGTACTCAGAAAGCTAGAAATAAGAACACTAAATTTATTGTTGCATATCTGCAAGACTGCAAACCTTGCATACGAAACTTATCACAACATAAAGGAAGTTGATGGGCAAAAGTATAAATTAACTATATAGTGTGGCCAGAATGAAATTCAGGTAGACGGAAGGGGTCAAAATGTAAGGATCACATAATGGAACAACCATTTGGATTATCCTCGCTGAACATGTAAGCCAGCCTTTGTTCCGTAGAATTGGGGGGTAGAATCGCCTGTTGAACGTTCTTCACGTGGCCCGGTGGAGCCCTTTTGTCATAGGTTTGGGCAGAGGATGGGTAGTACACTACGTTGTAAGGGATGTACGGCCAAAACTCTGCTCTTTTCCCGGTTCTTTTGACATTCCTTAACACCTTGTTTGGCTCCACGAATCCGTTCACTGTCACCTTGCTTTGTTTTCTGTTCACATCTATGCTTTTCACACCTACATGCCATATACTCGTATAACATAATGTTAAGGGTTTCATTTTGATGGTCTTAAGTGTTCATATTTTACCGACAGGATATACTCAATACATAACTAACATAAAACATTTTCTTGATGATATATATGAATAATAAAAATTTAATATTTCAAAACTATGCAATGATAAAAATCTATTCTGAGTTTAGATTAATAGAGTTCAACTAACTACAATAGCAACTCCAATCAAGGGTAGCCAGGATGCAACTTGGGGTGGGCCCATATAAAAGTTTTTTTCAAATAAACTTTTAGAGCCCATTTGGTAGCACCAAAATTGGCTGTTTTGGCTGATTCTGCTGAAATTTATGATATTCTGGCTGGAGTGGCTGTTTTGGCTGATTCTGCTGATTTAAGAAAAAAATATTTTAAAAATATATTTTATTAATAAATTAAAGAAAAAATTATATGTAAAAATAGCTAAAATGGTCCTCTACAGTAACTTCAGCCAATACAACCAGAAAAGTAACCCCAATCTTACTTTTTCGGCTTATTACACAATTCAGTGCGCGAAAGTAAAAGTTACGTGTTTGGTGAAAAAGCTGGCTGATAAGCCTGATAAGCCGAAAACAGAGTTCTCCAAACGGGCTCTTAGACATGTACTTCAACACTAAAAATATAAAGAAATTTTAAATGTGGGGTGAGTCGGGACCCGATTAATCTCCCTCTCTACCCCCGCCCCTGATTGCAATAGTAGTGCAGTAGAGTTCTCTAAAGTTGAATAGATATTACATTTTTCCTTACCACATATGTGCCCATGGTTAGAATACTATCTTTATCCTTTTAAACTTAAATACGGAGTAACATTTATTTTTTTATTATCATTTTTTTGTCAAATTCCCTTTAAAATAATTAATTTGTAGTCTTCTCTTTTTCTTCGCTATATAAGCCTTAATTTCAACTTATTTATCTATATGTTAGTGTCAAAGAGAGTAACATACACATACACTAAAGTATATCATTCAAATTACTCCGTACGTACAAAAGAAATTTCAAAGGGGCTTAGATGCCTCGACCTAAAAGAGGTAAAAGCGCAAAAGCTTAGATGCCTTTCGAAAATTTAAGCGGAGAACTTAAGCCGAGAATAATGGAGCTTTATTGATGTCAAAGCCTCTCAAATTAAAGGGCCTGCTTATTTTACAAAAAATATTGAGATTACGTGTTTGGGAATATTTCTAAAAAGTGATTTTTTTAAATTAATGCTTGATTATAAAAGTTGATATAAAACAGTAATGATAAATGTTAAAGCTCGAGGTTCAATACTAAAAGGTCAAATACTTTATAGTGTTTTATTGCTTCATAGCTTTCCGACGTCGGACAAATACTTTAACACGCCCTCAGCCCGAATTGGTCTAGACAATATCGGGATGTATAAATGGGCCAAACAGACTCTTAACAAGTTAACCGTAACAATGAGTGCTAAATAAGGCGTCAAATCACAATTGAAATTGGCTTTGATTCCATGTTAAGGTTCGATGTTCCATCCTAAAAGTTTGCGAAGTCGCTCAAAGTCTTATATAATGTTTTATTGTTTGATAGATTTTCGGTTTCGGACAAATACTTTAACAATAAAAGTTAAACTTTAAATAAATTGACGTGTGACAATTTTTTTATAACAACTTCTGTATTTTTAATGAATCGTCTGATTAGACGAATGGTTTATGATACCGACAAAATGTACGAAGCGCTTACAAAAAAATGTGAAATGAATTAACGAACCTTTGATGCGTCTAATAGCATTCCTCACTTTCAGTTCACATCCATCGCAATCCATCTTCACTTTTATCTCTACCGTCTGCATTCATTCAAAATCATCCATCCATGCATGATAACAGAGTTTAACAAATTAAATTTACTAGAATATTATGAAAAAATTGAATTAATTTAATACGGAGTATGATCTAGCTAATAATCTAGATGTAGGCATGTAGCATGACTAGATTAGTAGATTTATGTCAAGAAAAACTTTAGATTCGATAAGCATTACTATACTCTGTATATACACAAACACAAACATACGAATATAATTTATATAATTTTGGTTCAAATGTATTGAAAATTGAGAATCAATCTTGACACTAAAAGATGTATCGGAATTTATAAAATACTACGGCGCATGATTGAATTGCATCTGGTTGTGCAAATGTGCAACATGAAACGTTTTTCTATAACCCCAAGGATTCATTCTGATTTATCACATTTTATCTTGCACCATAGCCAATTCCTAATGTGTGTGAGGGGTGTATGAAATTAATTTGGCTTATGTTTTTTAAAAGTGTTCTTCCCTGACTTTTCAAACATCGAAGTACTTCTGTACTTTCATCTAAACAATCCAATTTTTATTTCTGCTCGTAGTTTTAATAAGTAGATCCAAACACCGGTCGCATATGCATGAAAAGTAAACGGTTGTACTGACCTGCATAGATTTGGTTCGGGTTGAGGAAGTGGTAAATGCGCAGAGTTTGGAAAGATACTCAAGTGCACCCATTCTTTCGATCTTCAATTCCCAGCTGATATAAATATATATATGACCTCTCTCTATATATGTATGTGTTTATTTTTAATTTCCCTTTGTGTCGGTGATACTGAACTCGCCGGAGTTCATCACTCCCTTTCCGACTTCCGGCTGCCACGTGTACGGATTTATCCCTTCGCCGTATGTATGGAGTTGAGCAATAAGACCAGGAGTTAAAAAGAAAAGAATGAGGAAGAAGGAAAAATACGTGCAAGCCGTGCTTACTTTGCTGCACTTTAAAAAGGAATATTAATTGATGTCTTCGAATAAGAATCCTGCTTGAGAAAGATACAATTCTTCTTCCTTTTCAGTTGTAAATAAATCGACTTTATATTGATCTTCATACTCACTGTTAGCCGTATTGTATTCCATGCGTGCCTCAAAAGTGAATTTCCTTTTTTGAGAAAAATGGCTAATGGCTATAGAAGTATAGAACTCTCCAACTCTATTTTTCTTCCTAGTCATAAGGGCCAAAATAGTTGCAGTATTAGACATTAATATGATGATATTTACTGGCATTAGTGACAATATTTATTCAATCATTCTAGTAATGACTTATATTTTGGGAATAAAAATATGAGACAGTTTTATTTTGAAATTTCAAAACATTTTAATTCCAATTTAGGATAACTTTCTTATATATAACCTTAAAAAACAGGCCACTAATGTAAAGCCTGATAAATTTTAAAACCGCATCTAACTTTCATTCCTATTTATGGTTACAAATATAAGCCCTTCTATTCATTACCTTTGGATCATTAGACATTGCAAACTTTGAATTATATGAAAGTTAGGAGGCATAAAAATTTTGTGGTTCTTCTCAAAAAAAAAATTGTGGTTGAGCCTTGTGCACAAGATAAAAAAAGAGTAGAATCACAAATTAGTTACTCTGATGAAAAACTAACAAAATGTGTAGGATAATGAAAAAGGAAATGTTGGCACAGTTCAATTGGAAATAATGGAACACGTTACCACATAGGAGCTCTGACATACTTGTATATATTTATGAAAGAGTCCAACTTAATTAAATAAATTGCAACAGTAGCCACATATATTACATTATTACACTCTCTCAATTTGTACGAAAAGAGCCCAAACACAAATTTTCCTTTAAAAAATGAAATTGTTGACTGAAGATACTCGATGAAAATATCCACAAGTTGGAGATGCATACTAGTATATAGAAAACAAAATCCTCATTTGCTACACGTTCATGGACAAAAGTATAGTCAATCCTAATACGTTTACTGCGAGTATGTTCAATGGAACTTGCAGTACGTTAAGTATGAGGCTGATATGTTGTCACACTGCATGCGAACTGGTACACGAATAGGAAAACCCAGTTCAAATTAAAGAGAACCTAGCGAATATGAAGAACGTCCTGAACTTTATAAGCAATGGCTCTGTATTCAGCTTTAGTAGAGGACGTCAAAACATTAGGATGCTTAGCTTCTTGGACTTCAATTCCAAGAAACCACATTTGGACATAGAAAAAAAACACAACTAGTGGTAGAACGAGAACTATCTGGACAATCAACCCAATCAACATCACTACTAGTGAAAATATAAGGATGGCGATTCGAAGGCGGAAGCTGTGAAGCCACAAACCATGAACACATGTACCCTACAAATTTTTTTTGACAACATAAAATGAGAGGTACGAGAAACATGCATAAATTGAGTCATTAAATGTACGGACTACTATATAAGTAATGTTGGGCCCGGTCATAGTAAAATATTGTAGCACACATACTACATTGCTATAGTCAGTAGGAGCTTTCAAAAGCTCAACATCACTGAGGGAGCGAGTAGTGTGAGTGGCCAAAAGTGTGCGCACAAGCTTAAGAGTGTGTAAATGAAAGAAGTTAAGAAAGTTAATGACATATTTAAGCACCCAGAAAGTAATTAAGATCTTCAAGATTCTTCATAGGAAACTGACATACAATGAGACAGATAAAAAGGTTAATGGAAGAACAAGAAATTACTCGTGATTATAATATCATCTACGTAAAGTAATGAACAAATAAGCAACTCATTGTGATGAATGATAAACAAAGATTTATCATACTAGGGCATATAAAATCATGACCTAGGAGCAGTAGAGGAGCTAGGGAGGGGCATGGGGGGAAAGCGTCCCCGCTTCGCACAAAAAAGTACTACTATTTATAATATATTTAATGTCCCCCTTCTTTTTTAAAAGCAAAGTTTTTCAGAAAAGGTACGTGTCTATAAGAATATAAGTATTGGCTGCATCATACCTCACTCATTTGAAAGCAAGTGTGGATTTTTAAACCTTTAATGACACACATGTTTGCTTTTCGTGATTATAGTGAACAAGAAAGTATTGACTTTGATGAATATGTTGTCACATATTCCACAAAAAAAGATCAAAATGTTCTCGAGACTATGTTGAATTCCCTCCTTAGTGAAGAAATTCATGAGAATTTTAGAATTTGTCAGAGATGTCCAAGATTCTCTATATGAGTATGGAGAAGTATTGAATGTTCTTGGTTAATAATGTGGAGTTTTCTAGAGAAGTGTGAAACTCAAAAATATCGTGTGGAAGCCTCTAGAACATTTTAAAGAATTATGGAGTTCTCTAAATCATTCCAGAAGATTAGAGAAACGTGTGGATACTTTTTGCAAGAATCTAAATGTGTAGAGATTATTATAGAGAAGCTTCCCATTTCTATGAGAACCTTGAGGAAAGCTCTTGACTGATTGACAGTGAGAGACTACTGGAGAGAGGAGAGCGAGAGGCTTCTTGTGAGAGAAGAAGAGTCAATGATATCACTTGATGTGTATGTGATTGAGTTCGGTAGAGGTAGAGTGAAGTAGTCCCAAATACAAAGAGTGATTGAGGGTAATACACAGTAATGTTGTCATATTGAGTCTTTGTAACATGAGTGTATGAATATATTAGTGTACATGAGTCTATGAGCTCGTGATCCTGGAAAAGGTTGGGGGTCATGGTTTAGTGACATGAAGTTATTATACAACATTTTAAACAAATTAAAACTCGTATGATTGATCTACCCAACTTATAGATATGAGTCCAGCAGTTTTTATGAATTAAATTGTGCCAACTGTTAAGACCAAAGTCTTATATACCCGGAGTAATGTTTTATTATTTTACAGCTTTATGGTGTGAGACAAATACTTTAACACGTCCTCTCAACTCGAACCGGACTGGACAATATCGAGATTACTAAATGGGCCAAACAGACCCTTAAGAAGCTACCCTTAATCATGGGTGCTAAACAAGAAGCCAAACAAAAATCGGACTTGACTCTATACCATGTTAAGACCCGAGGTTCCATCCTAAATGGTCAACCTGATAGGAGGAGTAGCCCAAAATCTTATATAGTATTTTATTGTTTTTTAGTTTTTCGGTGTGAGACAAATACTTTAACACTAACATATTACGCTTTTATTGTTTTTATTATATTTTGAGCAAATACACAATAATTCTTAGCCTTCAGCACACCTCCCCATTTGAAAAATATCTTGCTCTGCCACTACCTAGGAGAAACCTACTATAATATGAAACCAGACACGAGAGTTAGTTGCAGACCATAAAAGGCCTTGCACAAGCGACACAGATGAGTACAAAACTAACGGTGAACAAACCCACAATGTTGACACATATAACCGTACTTCATGAGTAAGGTGCCCACGAAGAAAGACATTTTTAACGTCAAGCAGCCTTATAACCCATTACCGCTTGGACAATTAGACATCCACCCGTAATCGCAACGACCCAATTGCAAGAGCGGAGCTCTACCAATTGAGCTATATCCCCCCAAGCCCCGTGGAACATGCATGAAGTAGTCAGATAATTCTTTAATTCTTTTGCCCAGCGCAGCTGGCGCTTCAAAAGAATTTGCTAAAGTAAAAACGATATGAACAGTAGGTTTAACAATGTGGCTAAAGGTTTCATAAAAACATACAGCTGATCAAAAGCTTGTGTCACTAAACGAGCTTTATGATGTTCAATAGTACAATTTGAATGATATTTAAGCTTATATTCACTTTGATCTAACAATATTTTTAGTGCCATCAAATGGGACTAAATCCAAAGTGCCATTAGTGATAAGAGCAATAAACAAGTGGGATAACAATCGTGCTTAATTTAAAAAATGGATTTAAGTTTAAAAATCATACTCCCTCCGTCCCTTAAAGGTTTGCCATGTTTGACCGGCACGTAAAATAATAAAGTAAAAACTGTGTGGTAGAGATTTGTGCAGAGGAGAGAGAAATAACATGAGCCACAAATTGATTGATTAAAATGGAAAGTGGCAAAGTTTTTGGGACAACCAAAAAAGGAAAGTTGGCAAAGTTATAAGGGACGGAGGGAGTAGAATTTATTTGGGTTTAGATGTCATAACATTAGACGAAGGATCATACCAGAAGTGGTGGGCATAGAGTGCATGAATGGTAGCGGACTTTCTCGAAAACGTAAAGGGATTGGGGGAGGACTAGGATGATGTGGTAATTTAATTTTTATTTACTCCATTTAGGTAATTACCCTTAATGTTAATAATGATGCTATTGACAAAAAAGAGACATTTTTTCTATTTTTCCAAAAATGAGACTAAAAATGGGTTAGAAGACTATTATACCCTTATATTAATAGAATCTCACCCACTAGTGCTACAGTAATGCCACAGTGACCAATAACATTATAGTGACCAAAATCTGCTAGTGACCAAAATCATTTGTGACAAAAAAATCAAAAATCCGTCAGTGACCAAAATCATAAGTGACCAAAATTTTTACTTAATTACCAACGTCAACTCGTCCAGTTATAGTTACTTGACCCGTCCAGTTACAGTTACCTGACCCGTTCATTTACAATTACCCGACCCGATCAGTGACCATGACCAATCCAAATGCCGCTAGTGACCAAACGCCTCCAGTGACCAAACACCGCCAGTGACCAAACGCCACCAGTGACCAAAATGCTGCCAGTGACCAAAACGTTGCCGGTGACAGCCACCACTGACCACCACCGTCGCCAGTGACCACCCGATCAATGACAATTATAAGACCGTCTCAGTTACAATTACACCACCGTTCTAGTTACAATTACACCGCCGTCCCGATTAAAATTACATCGACGTCCTAGCTAGTTATAATTACATTGTCGTCCTTGTCCCAATTACATCGCCGCCGCCGCCCCTGCTTGGACTGCCGCCACCACCACCGCTGCCCAGAGGTGTCGCTGCCGCCCCTCACCCACCAGCTACCCAGCCCGTCTGCAACTCCCAGCCCCCATCTCTGCACCGACAACCCACCCCCAACCCTCCACCCAGCCTCACCAACCCACCCCTGCTCGCTTCAACCTCCTCTCCAGCCCTCACAACACCAGAAACCCTAACATCGGCTGAGGGAGTGTGGTGAGGCGTCCAATCGAGTCCTGTAACACTACCTAGCGGCCACAGATCTAAAAACAATTGTCACCATCGCTTGATTAAGCCTACCCGCGAAGATGACGATTCCATATCGGAGAAGAAGAAGATATAGATCGAAGAAGACGATTAGAAATCGAAACTCGTCATTGTCGAAGCTTCGCCGTTGTCGCAGGATTGTCATCACGCTCACCAGTCGCACGCCGTCCGCTGCACGCCGTCCACTACACGCCGTCTGTCGCACGCCGTCCGCTGCATGCCATCCGTCGCACGCCGTCAGATCCCATAGTTCCAGCTCCTAGATTGCTGCGAAGAGGATGAGAGGCTTTCGATGCGAAGAAGAAGTGACGGGAAATCAAAAGGCTTAGGGGCATTTTAGATACTTCATAATATTTCAGTCTTAGTTTTGTCCAACCCGAAAATAGGTCTTAGTTTTGTATAGTTAAAAGCCGAGTCTTAGATTTGCCATTTTTTCTAGTTTATAATGATAGAAATAAAAATAATAATAAAGATAAATTTAATAAAAATGATAGTGATAAATAATATAAAATAACTACAATACTATTATAATAATAATATGAAATCTTATAGATATAATCAGATACAAAAAATTAAATAAAATAAAAATAGATAAAAACCAAAATTTTGAATAAGATTAGAAAAATTGTAATTTGATCAAATGAGATTAGAAACATTTAGATAGATCTAAAAAATGCATATGCGAATCACATATACGCATGGAGCCATGGACCTCCTAAAATTTCGAAATCTAAAGTGAGGACGTAATCCAAAAATGGCATAATCATTTTTCCCGACCCCTCGAACTTATGAAAGTTCAGTCTCTATCTGCTTCATCCTCAACTACTCACATTCAAGAGTTCCGGCTATTCCATACTCTATCCTGTACGTATCTCCTTACCGGCTCACTTCCATCACTGAATTTGATTATGCAGAACAATAACAATATGCATTAATCCGTAAAACAGAAGCAGTTTGTCTCTGGGTGTGGTATTGTTTATTTAAATCATCCAATATATTTGGAATCTATATATTGATATGTTCTACAGTCACTTCTTAGATTCAATTAATTTTTGTGCTATGATTCTCGAAATAAATCCTCGTACGTGATTTTTTACCCAGGATTTCCTTCCCTATCTGTTCTGCTAGGTGATGACAATTGAAACCTATTCTGATCTGATAAAACTGACGAAGTATAATTTAGAGACCCGTTTTGGGAATATCCGATTTTGATTTGGATGCAAGTGTTTACTTTACTTACTCTATAGCTGAAAATGGATGTGTTGTTATATGCTAAGAACCCGGCTTATAAGTATAGTGGAGGAGCATACCTAGCTTATGCAATTCTTCCACTGTTGAAGCTTATCTGTTTGACAGTTATTGGTATAATTCTCGCCCACCCAAAAACAAAAATTGTCCCCAAAGCCACATTCAAGCTTCTTGGCAAGCTTGTCTTTGCTCTATTCCTCCCTTGCACCATATTCATTCACCTTGGAGAGGCCATCACTCTTAAGAACTTCTTGCTTTGGTGGTTCATACCGGTGAATGTGATTTTAAGTGTCCTGGTTGGTAGTTTATTGGGATATCTGGTGACAAAGATATGCAGGACGCCGCCCGAATTCAAACGCTTCACCATAATCGCAACCGCGTACGGTAACTCTGGAAATCTTTCCCTTGCAATTGTTGGGTCAGTCTGTCATACTGCAGATAATATCTTCGGCCCGAACTGTCAAAGTAATGGTGTGGCATATGTATCGTTCTCCCAATGGGTCTCGGTCCTTCTTGTGTACACTCTTGTTTATCTAATGATGGAGCCACCATTGGATTATTATGATGTTGTTGAGGAAGAAGGTGTTGAGATTCAAGAGCAACAGTTGCCGCTGGCTAGTGATCTTAGCAGACCGCTTCTTCTAGAAGCCGAATGGCCCGGAATGGGAGAAAACGAGACTGAACATTGCAAGACCCCATTCGTAGCAAAAATCTTCTCAACTGTCTCCAACATCTCACAGAGTTCGATCCCGGATCCTGATAGTCCTACGCAACTCAGATCAATCGCGTGTTTGGCTGAGCCACGTGTGGTGAGGAAGATGAGAATCGTCGTGGAGCGGACCCCGATCCAACGGGTCCTTCAGCCACCGATGTTTGCCACGTTATTTTCTTTTGTTGTCGGGATGACACCACCACTCAAATCTTTTGTTTATGGTGATGATGCCCCTCTCTCGTTTCTAACAGACAGTTTGGAGATAATGGCACAAGCTATGGTTCCTTCAGTCATGCTTATTCTTGGAGGAATGCTAGCCGAAGGTCCTAATGAGTCTAAGCTTGGGGTTCGGACCACGGTGGGTGTGATTGTTGCCAGGCTTTTGGTGCTTCCTGTGTTGGGAATCGGGGTGGTTACTTTGGCTGACAAGGCAGGAATTTTGATCCCAGATGATGAAATGTACCGTTTTGTTCTCCTTTTGCAGTATACAACGCCTACGGCGATCTTGTTGGGAGCAGTGGCTCATTTGAGAGGGTATTCAGTCAGTGAAGCTTCTGCACTTCTCTTCTGGCAACATCTGTTTGCTTTATTATCTCTTTCTATATACATGATTGTATATTTCAAGCTACTGCTTTCTTAAAAGTAAGCTTGGCAGTTATACAACTTTATTTTTATACAATAATGTTGTTATTCCTAGCATCAAATTTGCCAATGGAATGTTTGTATTTTTATATTTATTTTTTCCTTCCTGCTATAAGGGAACTTGCTTGTAACATTTGCCCCATGAGGATGATATCTATCAGTTTGCGCTGTCAGTACATGTATATTGAATAAAATGCATAATTAGTCAACTTGAGATTGACATATGATTTTGATTAAAGATTTCACGTTGCAGATCTGAAGCATATGTTTCTCCATTTCGGAATGCTAAACATTTAACATTCTTTATTACTCCTTCCCTCTCTCAAAACTTTGTAACTTTCCTTATTTGGTTGTGCATCTCAAATTTTATCATTTTCATTCAAAGTACATACTGCCTCCATCTTAGAAGGTTTGTCAAATTGACTTTTATTGACCAATGATATTTTTAGGCGAAATTCACAAGAATAATTCCTACTTTTAGGGATTCTACAACAATAAATCATAGTGAGAGTATTCCTAGAAATAATTTGAACTAGCAATAATGCCCACAAGTATAAATTGACTTTTAGGGATTCTACAACAATAAATCATAGTGAGAGTATTCCTAGAAATAATTTGAACTAGCAATAATGCCCACAAGTATAAATTGACTTTTAGGGATTCTACAACAATAAATCATAGTGAGAGTATTCCTAGAAATAATTTGAACTAGCAATAATGCCCACAAGTATAAATTGAGTTGAATTCAAACTAATGTCCGTTTAATACTCCTACCTCCACTTTCCCTTTCACTAATCTCCATTTCGGGTAACACTTTTATCTTCTAACCTAGAGAGAACCACTTATGACGAAAATGTCGTTGAAATTAAATAGGTTTTAGCTTAAATTCACCATGATAAGAAGCTAAGGACGGCAAAGAGAAAAATAGTAGGAGTTGAGAATATTAAATGGGCACTAGTTTTAATACACCCCAATTTATTTCTGTGGACGCTATTGTTAGTTCAGATTATTTTTATGAACACTTTAAGTAGAGATTAGTATTGAAGAACCCTTAAAAGTATGTATTTTTCTCAAGAATTTCGCCTTTTTTAAAATACGAAATTATTTTGAATATGAAAACTATATTAAAATGTTCCTTATTAAAATGACATCCTTCAATTGTTCAAATTGTTGTAAATGTGGTCCTTCGAGGGGTGAATTATACAATGTAGTTCATGACTACATTTACACCAATTCGGACAATTGGGAGTTACATTTACACCCTTGGGAACACAAAGATTAAATTTCATATCATTGATATTTGAGAGACTAAAAGTGGGATTCTCCCAAAAGATTTTCATAAAGGTATACTACAATTTATAATCTATATAAAAAAATATAATAATTGAAATCATTGTCAAATTTTGCCATACAACAAAAAGTCAATATGACAAATCTTTTTGGGATAAATGTAGTAATATATATAGAGTTAAAAATGATTTCTCTTTTCTCTTTATAAATCTCAATCAAATAGATTTTTTTTTTATTATTTTAGGTAAAAGTCATTGAGTAAGTTTTCTAAGATGAACGCGAGTAATGGTGAAGACGGAACCAGGAAAACATTACGGGGTCCAAACTTATACATGCATTATCAAAAAGGTGAAACTTCATTAATCAATATTTGAGTTGAATATTTGACATGTAGTTGGCATAAATGTTTATTTTAAAAGATATATAGAGTTATTTGTTTGATTTATGGGAAAGTTCTCGAAATGGGACTAAAAAAGTTAGAAAATTCCAAAATAGGACTGCCATGTTTTTCTTCCCAAAATAGGACTAATTACTGCCAAATTTGGAAAATACTGCCATCTTTGAAGTCTGGTATTGCCAAAACATGACAGTAATTAGTCATATTTTGGGAATAAAAACATGGAAGTCCTATTTTGGAATTTCCAAACTTTTTTAGTCCCATTTTAGGTAATATCTCTTGATTTATTAGTAGTACTCAATCCGTCCTGCTAGAATTATCTAATCTTTCCTTTTTTTGTCTATCCTACTAAGATCGTCTTATACCAAATTTAGGGATAGTTTGTTTTATGGCGGATCGACATACACCCGCTGCAAAAAGTAGCGGTTCTATGTGTAAAAGCAATAGCGGTTTGGGGAAACCGATGATTTCCAAACGACCGCTTAGTAATATTTGTGGTTTTAAACAATTCCGATTTTATTCTTACTTTATAAATGTAATATCATTAAATTAAACTCACACTTCTTAATAATTGCACCACTTTCTCATATCTCAATGTTGGTGCGATAAATATAGTATTTATTATATGTTTCACGTAATTAGTGAATGAATAAGATATACTCCCTCCGTCCCGGAAACAAGTTCTCACTTTCCTTATTTGGACGTCCCAAAATAAACTTGCCACTTCCATATTTGGCAATTATCAACCTCAAAATAGGGCAAAACAGTGTCAAACATGGCAATACAGTGCCAAACAGTGTCGAAACAGTGTCAAAATAGTAAAATTTATCCCTCAATAACTTTATTTCCTTAAAACGTGTGAAAATCAACCCGAGAACTTGTTTCCGAAACGGAGAAAGTTTGTAATATATTTTAAAATTTGAGAATATGCCTAATACTTTGTATTACTCCCTCCGTATCAAATTAATTGACCCGTTTGCTTTTCACGCAGTTTAAGACAATTACTGTAGACTTTATTAAAAGTAAGAGGTTTTTGGTACTGTAGCGACACTGTAGCGGTACTGTAGCAGTATTGTAGCTGCTTTTTGAGTGGGATTCTTTCCAAAAAGGGAAAGAGGTCAATTAAATTGATACACCAAAAAGGAAAGTGAGACAAGTAATTTGATACGGAGGGAGTACTTGTTAATGTTTACTCATTTTAATTTTAGATAACGATTATTCTCAGGAATTACAACTTTTATTCCGAATGAATTACCAGAATCATTTTAAACTTTTAATTTTAAAGTTTACAGTTTTTTTATTCTAAAAAAATATTGGTATTTCAGGTATTCTTTACATTCTCGAACTTTAAAGGGGTAAGATGAACAACTTACTCCCCAATGAACGAAGTATACTTTCAATTTTAAGATAATTTTATTGGCATGGACACTCGAATCTCTGTTTCATGCCATAAAGAGCAGAACTCACTTTTTGCATGTCTTCCTCTGCCAATGTTGTGTTTGACTTGCACAAGTTCACGTAATGAAGGCCGCCTTTTTTAAACCGTTAGTATAATTCCAGCGATTTTTTAGCTTTCTTTTCACCTGCCATTTCCATCCCACTCAAATCTATGACCTATCTGATCCATCAAATTCAGAATTCATGAATTAGCGACTTCAAAAACGAAGACGACACGATTCCACGTCCAAGAAATTACAGCGATAAAATCGGGAAGGATAGCGAGTGGAGAAGGATCGTTTGGGAGGATTCTCCAACCACTTCTTTGTGGCCTCTTAAAACAAGTGGAAGTCAATGTACAATGGTAACGTTCCCAAACACTCGTCTCTGTTCATGATTGGATAGTATATGGGCGGAGCAGTTCAGTTTGACCCGTTTTTCATGAAATTGGCATTATTGAAATCACAATCATGAATCCCCATACCCGTTTTGAAATTTGAATGATTATTGGGTCTTAGAAAGGGATGTCCAAGATGGTGTAAGTATTTCCTCATTTGTAATTCTTTGAATTTCATTGTTCTTTCCTTGTGAATGTCTCTGCTGATGCCTAATAGACAAAAAAATTGGGTTATATATATATATTTTAATTCTGGGGAAATGGGGGATTGGAAAACTTTATGCGTCTTCAATAATGTGGCCCCTCTTCCCAATTTTCATCTGTTTCTATAGTGTTCAGCTTTTTATGGTATCATACTTATCTGTTATGTGATGAATGATCATGGTTTCAAAGCATCATCATATGCATACATAGTTTCATTTCAATGGTAAAAAATTTAATATGGACCATAATTGTTGTTATTCATGCATTTTAGTTACCGAAATTTAATGAAGCAATTGGTACATTAAATACATTTATTCATTTTAGAATGGTACCGTTTTAAAATTTCGGTCAAATAGTCCTATTGGATAATCTTAACTTCACATGAATTTTGATAATATATCACGAGTTATATGCAATACTTATTTGTTGCAATCACTATATTAACTAAATGAGTGAATGTGATACACACGATATGTGGACCATAGAGTGTTATGCTGAATAATCTAAGGCGAAATATTAAGTAAATATACTTAGAGTGCTATATTCACTTAATAGTTGGATACTAAAACACAATCATACTAGTAGTTACTAGTTAGAGTACTATTTATGCTATTATCCCTGCTTTTAAAGAATAAAATTATAAAAGACCACAAAACCAACATCATATAAGAGTTCTTAGAGTCTTAATGTTTAAAACAAAGGTAATAGGGTGATAAAGTTCCCAACTTTTTTTGTTGATATTTGTAATATACTGAAAAATCCAAATATTTTCGTAATGCAGGTTAACTTGATCGGGACGTACTTTACAAAGAATTCAGATTAGAAGAAAAAATATAACTGAGGGTTGCATTGAAGTCCAGCCATTTCTTGATGTTCTGTTTGAAGTATGGGAGACCGTTTTGCTTTACCAGTGGGATTGATGCTTACTGATTCAACCCTTGAAGCGATTATACAGAGCAAAAATCTCTCGCTACCCGCTGCTGTTGAAAATTTGAGTGATGACTTTAGTTCCCATAGGATTGATATTAATGATCAAGGGGTAGGATCATCACCAAGAACATTGTTATTGGTGGAATGTAGGATTTGCCATGACGAAGATGAAGATTTGAACATGGAGATACCCTGCTCCTGCCGTGGAAGCTTGAAGGTTTTATTAGTAGCTAGTAAATTCCTTGAATATACATGTTTTTACTACTTGAAGGGTTGTAAAATACTTATTGACATTAGTCAATTCAGAATTACAGGTCACTTATGAAGGTTTTGTGTGCAGTATGTCCACCGGCGATGTGTGCAGCGATGGTGTAATGAGAAGGGAGACACCGTCTGTGAAATTTGCCACCAGGTTTGTCTCTTAAGGGCTTGTTTAATTTGGTTCATTGATTTCGAAAATAAATCAAGTGTTATTATTTGATTCCATTGTCTATTTTAACAATCAACAACTACCCTAGTATTGCAATCCACTTATTAGCCACACTATCCTATACCATATTATCATTTTGTTGGTATGTGTTATTTTTTAGTGTCAGGAGTTTTCTTTCCTATCTACTTGGTGGTAAAGCCAAAACTTCTTTAGCTGCCTTGTCTGAGTTTTCGAGTACCGTTGCTTGTATGGTTGTAGCAACCCATGAGCTGACATGTTTTATAGCTTGTTGTACATACCTTATAAGAGTAAAGGAGTGAGAGAAAGGTGCAGTCTTTGTGTTCTGCCATAAGCTTTGTGCAATCCTCTTCTCCCTTCACTTTGTGCTATTCTTATCTACTTCCTATTTACTTCTTCTCTTCTTTGTGAGGGTGTTATAGTAGGACGAAAAGTGTAGGAAGGGCTTGATAAGAGGTGGTTTCTCTCTTTAGAACTAAGATTGTACTCAGTAAGATTTAACAATTCAGATTTAATAATTTCAATTATGTCGTTTTATTTCCTTTTACAAACATTTCATTAATCAGTATTAGGACCTCCAAAGGCTTTCCCTTTGAAAATGGTTTATCTTAAGAAATAATTAATTATATTTGGGGGGTTTCCTAAAACATTACTGAATAGAACTTAAAAAAATAAAAATATGATTACAATTACTATTGATATGTTCGACATAGATAGTATTAAATACAGTCTAAAACTGAACATAGCCGTAGTTCGTTTTAGAATTTTACATTGTTTTTACTCCTATTTCGAGAACTTTCCCTTAAATGGTACTGCTACGGCCGTAGAAAGACACATTTTTATCTATGATCTTTTATTTTACTATATTATCAATTTTATCATAAACTCCAACTCATTTCAATGCTTCCATCTTTGTTCTTGTAGCAATTTAAGCCGGGATATACAGCACCACCGCCTCCTTTATTTCATCATAGTAGGATTCCATTGAACTTAAGGTACTTATTTAACTGATGTTCAATCAACTATTCCTTCTTGTTTCCTAGCTGATAAGAAGCTATTCATATTTTCTTGTTTTCTATAGAGAAAACTGGTATACTTCTGGTAGAGACCGTCACATCCCTCCATACATTACATTGGTTTCTACAGAACACAATTTCACGGACCCGAACATTCAAGAGCATTGTGCATATACTCCAAGGAGTTTGATTTGCTGTCGCGTAGTTGTTATAACGGTATCCCCTCCTCCCCGTAATAAAAGGTTACAATTCTCATTTAGGGAAGAAACTTATATTTTCCTTCCTTGTTTTGCTGATGTTTATGCAGTTCATGCTGCTTATGATCCTACGTCATGCACTACCGGTTATCATCTATGGGGGCAGGGACTACTCATTGACACTGTTCATAGTATGTGGTACAATTTGGTTTCTTCCAAAACAAACTTAATCCTACCTTTGTACCTAAATAAGATTGTTTGTTAGAATTGACACCGTTATATTTGAAACTTCTTTTGTTATTTGGCTTCTAAGACATCTTAGATGAGGCCAATGTAAAATACAGATGACTTTAGTTACTCTTCAAGTCCTAATATGATTTCGGAGTATATGAAGCTTCAATGAGTATTTGGATAGTGAAATGTGCATGTTTTTGCATGCAGTTTTTGGTACTAAGAACTACTGGAATTCTATTGCCAATCTATGTAATGGCAAAGGCTGCTTTTGCATCAGTTAGGAGACGAAGACGGAGACACCCTTCAGAGGTGAGGGTTTGCATGAGATTTCTCACATTACTCCCCTTTCTCTATAAAGCCCTATTTGGTAGCCAGTTCTGGTTTACATTATTACATATTCTGCTTATGAGAAGTTTAATCAGAATAAGTAACATATTCAACCATTACCAAATGGGACATATTTTTGCAGGAAATATTGCCAAGCTACTTTGAGTTATAATGTGCATCTTTTTGGGTATATCTTTGCTAGGATGGCGATCATAACTCTAGTCTTGCCATGTTAGAAGAAGGAGATGAATTATTACTATTGCAGCCCTCTCAACAATCATAGATGGTTCATCTTCAATGACAATATGGAGACTTTTTACTCATTGTCATCAGGCTAACACTCACTGCAGAAACCTGGGGACTGGGGTTGAACTTTGCTTCTTTGAAAGCTAATTCTAGTTCATAGGATTCTTAGTATGACAATCTCATCGCACATGTATTGGCTTTTAGGGGTTAGTTTAGTGGCGACAGTGATACCTTCGCTTCAAACCATTCTCTAACTAGGTCTTGATTAATCTCCTGTACAAGCTAACATGTTCTTCTTGGCCAAGGAATTATATACTCCGTATAACATAATCCTAATTACGGGTGAAGGGATAGGTAATAGGCTAATATAATTAGGAATCTACCTAATAGATATTTAGGAATCTGCCTAATATCTATTTAGGAATACTTTGTATTTTGGCAACTCTTCTATTATAAATATATGACTCCTATCGGAGTACACCTTTCCCGATTATTTCACATGGTATCAAGAGCTCTAGGTTTGTAGATACAATTTTTTTCTTTTTTCGGTTCCCATGAACCTTATTATAGCCGCCGCCGCCTCGGGGTCGACTGCCGCCACATTTACGGTTGTCTCCGATCCTTTGAAGATGAGCGCGGCTAATATGGCGCAGATCACCTCCTTCGCGTCGCTGAACACGGTGCTTGCTTCCAGCATGCCGTTGAGTTCGCCGCCTGCTGCTGCCTATGTCCGCGCAGCCCACCTTCTCTGCGTCGCTGACCACGGTGCTTGCTTCAAGCGCGCTGTTGAGTTCGCCGCTTGCTGCTGCAGACATATATTCTCATGGAGATCTTATTGTCAAAGATGTGCCTTCTAATCTTCCGCTCACGGATATATTTACTAAAAGTTTTTTTTAGTTTGCAATTTTATTTTTTTAAAAGACAACCTGCGCGTTGTATCTCTCGCACAGTTTGAGGGGGTGTAATAGGCTAATATAATTAGGAATCTACCTAATAGATATTTAGGAATCTGCCTAATATCTATTTAGGAATACTTTGTATTTTGGCAACTCTTCTATTATAAATATATGACTCCTATCGGAGTACACCTTTCCCGATTGTTTCACAATAGGAACACTTTTCGTATGGAGATCCAATTTAACCGCTACAAGTGAGGCTAGTACAATTGATTGATCACATATCACACTCAAGTAATTTCCTTTTTATGGTCCTGACACCAAGATATATACCAAAAATGAGGTAAAAAAATTACCAAAAATGAGGTTAGATGTTTTTTCTAATATATGATTCTTTTGAGTGTTTAGGAATGATCCATTGAATTTGTGCTTTCTTCATTAAAATAACATTTGCGGAAACTATGATTACAAGAACTTCAGAACTCTTTGGAACATTTTCTATATCATGTTTTTTCTTAAAGTAATTTGAACACGTTTTTTCATTTTCTTCAAGGGAGGCAAAAATGGGAGAGATATTGGGGGGTGAGGGTAGCAAGGGGAGGGAAATGAAAAAGTTGTTAATAATTTGATTAAAAAATGAAGCGAATATTTGTTAATAAGTCAAGGAAAAATTACTGAAATATGAGTAAAAAGTTTGAAAAATACAAAATAAAATTATCATATTTTTATTCTCAAAATAGGAATAATTACTGCTAAGTTTGGAAAATACTATCATGTTTAAAGTCTGATACTGCCAAAACATGACAATAATTATTCTTATTTTGAGAATAAAAACATGATAGTCCTATTTTGAAATATAAAAACGTTTTTAGTCCTATTTAAGATAATATCCCATAAGTTAATACTCATTTAGCCATTTATCAATGTAAAAGAAGAAGATAAAAAGAGAGCATGCAACTAATCACAAAATACCTGATATTGAAATGCTAGTTATCACTTTGAAAAATTCCTACTTGATGGAGATGAATGAATAAGAATACTTGGGGGTGAGGTGGAGATGTGTCTCTAGCTCTTCCTCCAACAATTTGGAGATTCAAGTTTGTCAAGAAATGTGAGAGTACTCCGATCCAATCGATCGATCATATGTCATACTCAAGTTATTTCTTTTTGGAGCGGTGTTGACTTCAAGATATCATGAAAGAAACTATAATTTTTTCTTATCTATAATTCTTTTTAAACAATTCAATGAATTTGAAAAGTCGTGATTTGCACTCTCTTAATTTCATTAGTCGTTCAATAAGTATTTTTCTATCTTATGTTTTAAAAAGGTTAAAGTAGTGTTTTAAGTTTTTTTACTTAACTTTAGTCACTGGTAATGGTTGAAAGATGAGGAATGATGCTTAAAACTATATTTACATTTCCTATAATTATTTACCCTAAAATGAACCAAATAATTGATTTTACTAATGAGTCCAACTTTACTTTTCAAAACTTTCTTATATTTCAAACACTTTAAACTTTTAAAATTATCCATTTTTCAATAATTTTCAAAACAAATTACTTCAAGAGCACAAACAAATATAAATTCTTTTTAAAATAAATATAAGTTCTTTTTAAACAAGTAATTCAGCCCAAAAATGTAAAAATAAGAAAAAGTACAAAATAAAACACTCCCGCCAATTAAATCTACCGCTTATAACCCGTAATCGCATAGCGTTCCCGGTAAACACTATAAAAGGAAGTCGCAACCAAAATTTTCTCGGTAACTCCACCGAACATTTCCCAGTACGCTCTCTCATCGCCCTCTCTCTGCTCAAGTATTTTCTCGTCTACGTCTTTTCCTTTAGAAGCCTACTACTCGGTTCTTCAATGATTCCATGAATTTCTGGGAATCGGAGATATCTTCACGGATTCTCAGTCTGGACATTTCCGCCGCACTTTCCTTTCTTCACCAGTAGCTTCAACACAATGAGTGCCGTTAACCTCTGTAACGTGGCTGTATTGGACAATCCGGCACCCTTTTTGGCCCCTTTACAGTTCGAAATCTCCTACGAGTGCGTAACTCCTCTCAAAGACGGTACTTTTCCCTTCCCTTTCTCTACTTTTGATTGTGTTTTACGTTTTGTTTTGTTTTTCTACTTTGCTGTGTAATTGTTGCGGTGTTTCTGCTTTGGTATGGATTGAAAGTAGACTACGAGAGCTAGGGTTATTTAATTTGGTAATTTGAATCTGTACGGTTAGGGGTTTTGGGCATTTCATCTAATTTTTTTTGTGCCGTATTCATTTAGCTTGCTGATAATTGGAGAAATGAACTGAGTCTGACATGATCATTGACATCAATTTGTCGCGATTGAGTTGCATTCATCCGCTATTTTGAGTTTATATTTCCGGATATCAAATCTGACTCTTTGTCTAAAGTATGTATTTTGCTGGTTGAGAGGGGAAGGTGATATTATTGCTATGGTATGGTTGTTTGGGACACACTATAGGCAGCTTGTATATCATTGATCTTGCCTTGGTTCTTTGCATTACTCCATTGAAAAGCCCAAGTTTATTATTTTCGTATTATTAATATGTGATAGGGGTTTCATGAAGAGTTCTTTTTCTATTCTCTTCCACAGCATAATAGAATTCAACATGCAATTGCAAATTACACTTTGATAAGAAATTGACAGCATCATTGAATATTTCTTTATATGCAGACTTGGAATGGAAGCTTATCTATGTTGGATCAGCTGAGGATGAAACTTATGACCAACTGCTTGAAAGTGTTCTTGTTGGGCCAGTTAATGTTGGGAATTACCGGTTTGTCTTGCAGGTATGACCCTTTTCCCCTTAACTAATAAATAACTTGTGAGGTTTATTAGGATCATTTAGTTACACCAATTCATCTACATGTACAGGCGGAGCCTCCAGATCCCTCAAAGATCCGAGAAGAAGATATAGTTGGTGTGACTGTCCTGCTGTTGACCTGCTCCTACCTGAACCAGGAATTTATAAGAGTAGGGTACTACGTAAACAATGAGTACAATGATGAGAAGCTAAGAGAAGATCCGCCTCAGAATGTGCTAATTGACAGGATTCAGAGAAGCATACTATCAGACAAGCCTAGGGTTACCAAATTCCCCATTAACTTCCACCCTGAAAATAATAACGAAAGTAGTGACCAAGCCCCCCCTCCTCCACCTACTGATGGCCAGGTCACTGGCGCAGAAAAGGAATGATGGGCAGTGACATCAACCGTTTTTTCACCCGACGCTTTGGTTTAAATGGTCTCTAATGAAGCTTTTCATCCATCTTGAAAACTTGCTATTTCAACTTCCTTTTGTCTCTAACACCAATCTAGTGTCGAGGTGATGGTGTGGTATGTTTTGACAAAACTTCATATTTTGCTGAACTAAATGTCTTGGTCTCACTGGCAAGTTTGTTATGTTAATAGATCATATGCCCTTCACTTGTCCCTGTTCTTAGGTCCCATATTTGCAAATGGTCTTTCTTTTTTCATTTTCAGAAATGCAGAACATTTTCTATGTACACCTAATCAATATTGAACATGTCATCACTCGGCCTCGTTTTCACACACACACATATATATCCTTGATTCCTTGTTTTTTTTTTTAACGAAACTGGTTTAACTTATCATAACCATCCTTGATTCCTTGTTAAAATAATTTCTTATATCTTGCGTATTTAGAATCATTATCCAATTTATGGAGTATATATGCAGTATAGTTAAAGAAAAATACAAGCTACCTTCCTCGTTAGTACTAGCCCTAGCCTTTAGCTCTCCCGCAAATAGTAGCTGCAAGCCTGCAATACCTAAATGTGTCTTCTCGTTGAACCTGCAACCACATGTTGACGGATCAGGGGTTGAGGCCTGGCATTAAAGTTAGGAAATCTGTCCAGCCAAGCTGGGTGATTTAATTACACATTTAACGGTCATTTGTCTGGGTTTAAGTAATTAGCAAATCTTAAGGTCTTCTTTGTTTGTGGGTTAATTTTAGTTTCAAATCTTGAAATCTTCTCTACTATATACGGCTCCTGTTCGCAGGGCCCTATTCCATACAGAAAAGGATCAATTTCCGAGATCCATCACAAGTTCACTACTACATACGGAGTATCTCACAAGTCACAATAAAATATAAAAATATTAATTAGAGTCTAGATATAGTTGTTATAAAGTCCGGAGTAGTATGATCTAGGGATGGACCGGGACTGGGCTGGGGCAGGGCGGGACCGGGACTAAAATTTTCAGGCCTGGTACCAGCTCGGGTTTGTACCGGGACCGGGCCGGTCCCAGCCTAAATCACGTCTTTGAGGTTCGACCAAAATCATGTCTAACAAAATAATTTTCATTTTGATCATTTTTCTCCCCATGAATTACAGTCTTAATCTACGTGCAAAATTTGGAAAATTAATATGGGACAAAGGTATTATATAAAGACACACTAAATAAAATTCTTTGTCCCGAATTAATCTTAGTTTTTATTTATACGTCTCTAAATATAGTCTTTTTGTGAAAAAGGGATACAAATATTACATTTAGCCGTTTGAAATATAAAAAGTGATTAGTTTTTCATTTTTTCCAAAAAATGATTACCTTTTTGTTTAATTAATTTTTTTGCTCATTGTAATTTATATCCAATCTCTGCCCCGGTGCCAACCCACACTTGCCCAGCTGCTGCCAAAAACTGCTCCGAAAAAGATGCCGGATATTTTGCATATCCTTTCTTTCAATTTTTCATTCTTAAAAAATTTGTGAGGATGTGTTGGAGTATATTTGGCGGTCACAGTGACATGTTTCACAGTGGCAGTAACATCTTTTGCGACAACAATAATAATCTCCAGTGAAATAAAAATCTGACAACAAAATCGTGTTTTATTCATATATAAATGTAATCACTTTCTTGAATGAGTTTAATTTATTCGTATTTAAAGAAAACACTTTTCACTTTTGAATTTACACGTAGTACTACCTTGGTCTAGTGAACTAGTCGGGAATCTATAGTTTTACATTTATTACCAAATGGGATTGTTAAACTTAGAGACTTCATGATTAGATATATCTTTACAAGATAATAAGCATGAATGAGAGTAAACCTATTTTGGGCATTAAAAATTTGTTGGTGGTATTGTATAGCAAAATTGACATGTACTAAATGCTTAGGTAAGTGTACATCATCCCACGTGTAGATA